GTGTTGAGATTTGTCCTGCTTCCTACATACTACGAGCAATACATGTTGTGTCGCCACTAACGCCACGTATCGGCGTTACGCGCTGGTTTCTCTGTTTCGTCCCAGTCTGGCTACAACACATGTAACGACCACGTCTGTTTATCAATATATCTTTTTGGTTCTCTGCACACACCCTGTTCTTTTTTGCCTTTGCCTTCACCTGAGTTTCGTCAATAATTCGCGATATTACTACAGTAGTTTAATTGCGTTTATAAGTCCGGAAAACCAATTCAGCGAACAGTTCGAATAACTATAAATATGGTACATATGTATGAGTGTATGTATATATATATATATATATATATATATATATATAGGGTGGGTCAAAAGTTTAGATACACAATACACAAATATCTCATAAACAATGCATTTTAAATGTTTCTTACAAAAGTTGTAAGCCTTAAAAAAACGTATTCAGTCATAGTAGTTATTTAACCTAGGATGGCGTTGTCAAGGTCAGGTCAAGGTCAACATGAATTTTTTAAATGGAACCCCTCCTTTTTTCATTACATATTCTTGTAGCTTATCTCGAAAGCTTTCTAAAACACTATAATTAAGTTCATTTTTATAATAAGTACTTTGCGAGTTATAAGGCTTGAAAGTTGTAGTATCGTCGGCATTAGCATTACTTAAGATGTCCGACCAACGGCTAAAACTTCTTGAATGTTCAGGATCGAGTCTTGAATAACATTTGTTAAGATCAAGGTCACTGGAGATTGTTTCTCTTATTTTCATTTTTGCCGAAAATTCATTTTTATGTACAACAGCTGTGTTTCTGCTCGAATATAGGTTTACTTTATGTTATGCCTTTTATGATCATTTACTGACTATTGAAGGAACAAAGGACAGTTTTCATCGATTTTTACAAGTGTTTAAAGATCTCGTCATTTTGTTTCATCCAAATTGTCTTTATTTAAAAATGGCATGCAACATGAATTACAAGGTGCGTCCCAAAATTTTCCGAACTTTTTCAATAGGGATAGGTCGGGTGGCGCCATCTGTGTGTTCGATTGCGCGTTTGAAAGGTACATCCCTACCTGACTTCCAGTGAAAATTTCATGACATTTGGTTCAGTGGAAACGAAGTTATGGCGTCTCAAGTGTCAGTATGTTGTATACATCGGTACGAGAATGAACTGTTCTTCGAACAAAGAGCCAATATTAAGTTTTGTTTTAAACTTGGTAAAACATTTACCGAAACCCATAATTTGATGAAACAAGTTTATGGTGATAATTGTGTAGCCCGTACCAGTGTTTATGAGTGGTATACGCGATTCAAGAACGGTCGTGAGGACATAAATGACGACGCACATACAGGTCGCCCAAAATCGACAATTAACGAAAATTCCATCGAAGTTGTGCGTAATTTCATCAAGCATGAGCCAAAATCTTCAGTGAGATACATGGAAATGGAATTGAACATCCCCAAATCAACGATTTATCGCATTTTGACCGAACATTTGGGCCTACAAAAAGTCTGTGCACGATTTGTTCCACACAAGTTGACTGACGACCAAAAAATGCTTCGAATTCAACATTCAAAGGACATTATTAAGGAAGCCAAAAAGGACCAAAACTTCCTTTATAGCATTGTTACTGGTGACGAGACGTGGTGTTTTCAATACGATCCAGAAACCAAGCGTCAAAGCGCGGAATGGAAGGCGCGAAACGACCCAAAACCCAAAAAATCGCGTTTTGAGAAGTCAAAAGTGAAGACAATGCTCATTTGTTTTTATGATTCCAAGGGTATTGTGCACAAAGAATTCGTTCCAGCAGGCCAAACAGTTAATGCTGTATTCTATGTAAGCGTTTTGAAGCGTTTGGTGCACCGCATTCGTCGTATTCGGCCAGAATATCGCGAAGAAGGAAGTTGGCGCTTGTTACACGATAATGCGCCATCTCACCGTTCGACACTTGTCACTGATTTTTTGACTAAAAATGACATTTTAACAATCAACCATTCCCCGTATTCACCTGATATGGCACCTTGTGACTTCTACCTATTCGGCAAAATGCATTTGTCCATGAAAGGAAAGCGGTATGTGGACGTAGAAGACATCCAAAGGGCTTGTACCACTATTCTGAAGGACATACCTTTGAACGACATAAAACACTCATTCGAAATGCTTTTAGATCGTGCCAAACGTTGTATTGAGTCCGATGGGGACTACTTTGAATAAACAAATTTGAATTTGAAAAAAAAAGTAAACCGTTGTTGTTTTATTTCAAAAGTTCGGAAAATTTTGGGACGCACCTTGTAACGTGTCATTCCTCACTTTTGACATCACCATTCCAACATGGCCGCCGCGACTAGTCAGGAGCCTTAATTGAAAAATGTTCCAGACAAAAGTTTTGTGACTTTGAAGGGTACCTATGGTTGGTTTAATTTTGAATGGCGTTGTCAAGGTCAGCACAAAATCACTTATAATTTTTTAAATAGGACTGCCCATATAATAGGACTTCACATTCTCGAGCTTACCTCGAAAGCTTTTCAAGATACTAAAATATTTTTTCAGTAGGTATTTTTCGAGCTACACGGCTTGAAAGTTACAATACCGCTGGCAATAGCATTATCCCAGCCGACAGCTAAAACCTCTTGAACATGCTCAGAGTCATGACCTTGATAACATTTAGATCAATTGGAGGTTATTTTTCTAATTTTTGTTTTTATATGTAAATTAGAAAATAAAAATAACAATCCCCAATGCTTTGACCTTGACAAATGTTATCAAGATTACGAATCAATTCAACCTCAAACATTTAAGATTTTAGTCTGATACATCTTGAGTAATGCTATTTATTTATGCGTTACAAAGCATTCTATTTTTATATAAAAATGAAATAATTTTCAGTGTAAAAATGAAAATAAGAGAAACAAATTCCAATGAATTTGATCTTAACGAATGTTATTCAGAATATGATCTTGAACAACATTTAAAAGATTTTAGCCGTCAGACACCTTGCGTAATGCTAATACCGGAGGTACTGAACTTATAACTTGAAAACTTTATGAAAAATAACTTTATTATAGTGTTTTGAAAAGTTCTCTTGACACCAATTATTAAACTCTGGAATAAAAAATAGGATGTCATTTAAAAAAATCGATGTGACCTTGACTTAACCTTGGAGATGCCACCCAAGGTCAAACTGACCAGATCAGTGAATAGATCATTTAAAACCCTGCAACTTTTGTAGGAAACATTTCTTTTGGAAATGCTTAGTTTTCGAGATATTTCACAGATTCAGGACTTTTACTCACCCTGTATATGTATATGCATACAAAGAAGATAGAGTTTACAGTAGAGCCTTTCAACTCACGCACCGCGGACACGAAATTTCGTGCCCGCGGTGTGTGACTTAGAAAGTTCTAGTTTACAGAGTATAAAATAATTATACATACTTGTTGATGTACCAGCATATGTCTCTGCAGATTGTTCAGTCTATTGAACTCGCGACCGCACACTTCACAATCGAATTTCTTGTCAGGGTCATGATGTTTCTTGTGCATACTCAGATCAGTTATGTGGTGGAAAGTCTTTTGGCATATATCGCATGTGTATTTGCGTTGTTCATTAGGCATATGTGATTCTTCATGTTTTGCTAAACTGGTCTTATCCATGAATCGCCGACCACAGTAAATACAAGGAAGTGGTCGCGATTGAGAATTATGCAATGTCAAGTGACGACGTAGTGCCGTAGATGTAGGAAAGTTTTTGTGGCATTCCAAGCACTGAAACGGTCGATCACCAGTGTGAGTCTTTCGGTGACGGGCAAGCGAACCTTGATCTGGATACCTGGAAAATGAAAACTTGATTTTATAATTCTAATAAAAATTTGATTAAATAAAATAATATAGAAATAATAGACAATAAGAGACAAAAGATTATATAAAGCTCAAGTATGAAACGTATGCATCATGCGTGTGTGCGTATGTGTGTAGGTGTTTCATTTTAATTGATTCGCCAAGATATCGAGAATAAGATATATGTAGAAAAAAGTTTCAGATAAAAGTGGTACGGTGTTGAGGGGACATATCTTGGTTATGAATAATTTACATATTTAATATTTCATGTATGTAATATATTATTATTATTATTATTATTATTAGGCGTTAGGAACTCGAAAGCTCATTGCCGCAAATACCAAATCCCGCCACTGTTCCCGTCCCTGAGCAAGATCCCTCCATGTAATATATGTATATATGTATGTAATATATGCCAGAATAAAATATAAAATGTCTCGTAAACTATATTGATTTTTTGATATCTTTACTTTAATACTTTTATATGAAGGATATTTTGAAAAATCATTATAGTATAAAAAAAACTGTCTAGTTCATTAAAAAATTGTAGGTAACCTTGTTTTGAGCTTAAGAACATCTTCTCAAGATCAAAGTCATCCTCTTTTAACTGAGCAACGTTTGTCAAATATTTGTTTTATGGATTTTGAGGCATTCTACTACATGAATTAAAATGGACTACCTTGTATGAATACATACACACGCACGCTTGTGTGTGTGTGTGTGTGCGCGCGCGCACATGCACACATTAACTGAATTTTTCAACTAGCCTTTTAGGACACGAGTCACAAGGGAAGTTTCTTGTAGTTATATCTTCTTCACGAGCGTGTTTTAGTCTATTATGCCTGAGTAACTGGAAAGATGTTTTAAAACTTCTATTACAGATGTCACACTTCAAATTGTCTGTTGTCGGTATAATAACTTGAGTTCTCTTTTGTCCGTTCTCATCCTCCGATATTATCAAGGATATGGTCACAGTATTATCTTCATTATCATAATCTTGAAACGATGACGATGATACTGTACTACCAGTTGTCTAGTAAATTATAAACATAAATAGAAAAAATGTTTATATACACACAAAATACATACAAAAATTCATTGATGTATGATACCTGTTTATTAGAAGTAGGCTTGGAATCTATATCAGGCAGAATAAAAGTCTCCTCTTGGATTGTACTATTATTCTGATAAGATTTAGATTGTGAGTCTTTATTGGTATTGTCATCATTACTTTCAGCAATTGCATAATTTCCATCCTCAGTTAAATATACTGGTTGTAGAGTTCCACTAGCATCCTTAAAATATAATTGACCATCTTCGTCCTCGTGTAAAAATATCTGATCCTAAAAAAGCAGAAACAAATATATTTACTTACAATGTATTAATACACAGAAAAACAAATGATATTGTATTAACAATATTATTCTTTAATTAAACAATCCTTGAAATAACTTTAATGCGATAATAGTATTAATAAAACAAATAACATTTATCAAAACAAGAACATTATGTATTTATTTCATTATTACTGTTATTGAATTAACAAGATTATATTTGACTAGACTGCTATTAACTAATGTTGTTAATCCATCTTTTTTTTTCTTGTAGAATTTTCGAATGTTATATCGTATACTTGAGAATTATCTTCTTGATTTTGATTGGTTTCGGAATTCGCCACTTCCCAGGACATTTGTTCATCTTGTTCCATCGTTGCATTATCATACTGATATTGTTCGTTATCATCGATGGCTTGTGCTACATATAATGTCTCCATGTTGTCTCCTTCATAGTAAATAGTACCCTCAACTGGTATAGTATTTGCTTCAAGTCGTTCCATCTAGAATAATATAATATTAACTCATTAATATTGACAGATTATTTGCACACATAATATTTTCATCAAATACTAACTTTAACATAATGATCACTGAGTTTCTCTTGCTGTTGTTTAGTGGAAGAATCTTGTTTTTTTGATCCTAGCACAGTGTACAATAGATTATTCTCTATATTTTTCACTATCTCTTGAGTTGAATCACTGTCATCTACAATATCATTTACTTTATTCCCATGGGATTCTATTCGAGATTTGTCCACCTTTCCCATGGGATCCACATGGATTTTTAAATCTTTGTTTGATTGCAGCGAGATAGTCCGATTATTTACATGCTTTTTATCAGTCTGCATTCGTAAAGAGTTCACATGATTATCAGTCAATTCAGAATTATTGTCCAACCCATCCACTCGCTCCAACTCCTCATCTTGCCAATCTTCATCAACATCATAGTTTATAATATGTTTTTTAGTGATTTTGTGTGCGCTATTTTTTACATGCTTGATTGGTTCTTTTTCGAATTGCGAGGTAAACATTGAATTCTCATCGTCAAAGCTATAAAGCTCTATGTTTTTATTAATCGCTCTGTCACTTCTCTTTGTCTTTTCAATTGTGTCAATATCCTTTGTATCTGTCAACTTGTCCTTATCTGAAGCATCATCATTTGTAGGCGTCTCGCTTTCCTCGACTTCCTCAATTATCTCTATAATTTCTTCTATTTCTGCTTCCTCAGAATCTTCAGTAATCATTTCAGATTCAAATATGATATCTCCTTCCATAACATTTCCATCTTTCAATACCTCCATAACAGCCTTGTCATCTATAACCAAGCTCTCCAATATTTCTGATGATAACTCCATTTTTTAATACCTACAAAGATTGGATTTGAAGAATAAATATACAAATGTTCTATGTTATAAAATCAATTGGATATGCATAAGCAAAGGTCCAAGTTATTCTTTGTTACAAAAAAATCATTATGAATTGTATACGAATAACCAAGAGACTTGCACCAAAATATAAAAATAAATAATCCAGTACATTATATATGTTATAAAAATGATAAAAAATACAGATGTTCACTATACGTTGATAACATTTGTTTTTACACTGTCTTAAAATCTATCGCATACTATATATATATCACTTAAAATCTTATTTATCTTTATTTGTATCTTTTATATTCATTGCATATGCATATCATATATATCTTGTTTAATTATTTATATCTTATACTTTTCTCCTTATATCTATATATTTAAACAAAAAGTTGTAATTTTATCTACAACAGAAATTTTATTATTCTCGATTTAGTTTTAACTTTTAAAAAACCTTATCGATATGTAGACTGTTTTTCTTTTTAATCAAACAATTTTCGATATCATTTATTCCTTTCGATAATTTATGAGTAATTCCTATGGGAAATAACAAACGTGTTTACAGCACAGAACTTAGTGGGCACATCGATACTTCTGGTAGTTGTTCTCCCGTCTGCTGGTAACGTTTTTCAGTCTTAGCAAAAAAAGAGCCTTCTATTCTCGATAAATATCGCATACGAAAATCTATTATAAAATAGGAAAATCTATAATATATGTAACGTAAACTGAAGTATTTTCATACATTTTTGTATACGATATTTTTCGAGGAACATACCCTAGGATTGAACAACACGACGTAAAATCAGCAAATTGGCGCATAAACATGTGCATCTGAGGTAATTGTTGATCTGAGAAAGAAAAAATCTTGCGCGTACGTGCCCACGGATAATTCTGCGCGATTCCTCTCGAAGCCGAAATCGTGCGGAACAGAGAAAGAACGGAAGAGGAAAGCGAGAATTCGAAACTATCAAAGGAGAAACATTACGAGAGAGACGAATGAGAATCGCATGTATGTCGCACCGCGGAAACGCAACGGCGCAGCTGGGCTGAATGCCCGCTTTGTGATTCCACAAGCGCGCAATTCTTCCCACTCGTTGACGTTCCCCTCGCTCGTCTTGCTACGTCTCGAATCATCACGGATACCCCGACACGAACGCGTCAAGGATCGCGACGGACGGAATAGATGAAAATGTGTCGGGACGTTCCACCAAAAGCTAAGCTCACCAGTCGGTACGAAAATCCCGTGAATTTATCAACGGCTAGCAATATGGCCAACACGGGCAGCAGGGGGGAGGGAGTAAAACAAGGAGGCGTTTATCGTCAAGCGGAATTACGATACAGTGAAAACGCTGAGAAACTGCCGCGTTCGATATCGATTATTGTTGCTCATCGATCATCGCATATACCTTTTGTTGTTTCGCAAGATCTCGGACGACACGCTACACGTCACTGAGTCGACGACGATTCAATGTATGCTCGGTCGATACGCCAATTGTCTGAGGCTGCCTTTTCTGTCTTCTCCACCAGGCGAGCAATGCCAGGCCCGCGCGGGAGTTTAGTCGAGTCGGCGCACACGCGTAGCCGGAAGTCATGAAGTAAGAGAAAAGCAGGCGGAAACTCCATAAAATGGAAGTAGTCTCGATTAGAGATCCTAAGGGAGCGTTCACATCTTGGCGGAAAAGCAAAAAGCGGAAAAACTGAAACCAATCAGAACTCGCGGAAAAACAGAAGCAGACAAGCGGAATGTACCGCCTACTACTACTGCGAGTTCCGATTACCTTTCGCTTTTCCGCTTTTCCATCAAGATGTGAATCCGGCCTAAAGCCTATTTCACAATGTGTTTTTTGTTTTTTGCTATTTTTTACGTCTTGCCTATTTGCTTCTTACCTGATATTTTGTTTTGTGTCACCTGAGATAAAAATTAACGAACTCTGGAAGAAGCAGGAAATACGTAGCAAAAATTGTCGATAAAATGGTTGCAAAGAGAAAAAAGCAAGAAACAGGAAACAAAGAGCTCATTATAGAATATACTTAAAAGTAGAGATCGGCCAAGGCCCGGCATGATGTTGTGAAATCGGAAATCACGTGATCATAGAAATCCACGCCAATATATCAATGCTAATTTTGATGAGAATCTTGACACCTTAACAGCAAGCTGGAAATCGATTGTATCTCGAAACCTGAGGTTTGTTCGCGTCGCATGCTCCAATGTATTCCTGTTATAACTACTCTACTCACTTTAACGAGCGCGTTAGAGTGAGAAATGCTATAGCAAGGAGTTGATTGTGTATCTTCAAATAAGGTGAAAATTACTAAAGTGAGCAAATTCACTAGAAAATTCATAACTTAATTGGTCAATACCTAGCAACCTTTACTTACTTTTGTCATTTTCATCTCTTTTCAAAATCCACAATCGACTCAGGAGAATTTTAGAGCATGTCAGAGTATGCGACGCGAGCAAACCTTTAGTAATGATAAAAGTAAGCTCTCACTTGATTGGGTAATTTTCATCATAATGGAAATGCAATTTCTCACATTGCTCGATAAGAAATTTTATGTCGAATTGTATCAAATGATGACAAAACATACCGAGATTGGTCGAAATTAGTTGAAATTTGTCAAAATTTGTCAAATTTTACTTAAAAGTATTATTGTTTCTAGCAACAGACATTATTTTTATGCTTTGTATAGAAGAAAATGACAAGGAAAATAATAAAATTCGTAAAAGATATTAAAATTTAATAGGAAGACGAGATACTCAAGATCTATTTAAAATCTCAGACAATTCATTTAGAAAATTATATAGGTTAGTATATAAATATATTAAGTAATATAAATATATTAAGTATATAAATAAATTATTTAAATATTTAAGATGATAAAATGGCCTATACGGTCAAAAGGCTTGCAATTGCCCATGATCCAATTGCGCACAAGCCAATCACAGTGCAAAAAAAAAAATAAAAAACTTCCTAGGCAGAAGTCGCTGTGACTGGTAGTGAGCAATTGCTACAGTGCTCAATTGAACCACTCCCTATACGGCCAAAGCAAATCTTTATGTCTAATAATATTTTTACATAAATTTTTAAATTTCCAGTTTAAACAAAAATTATGAAATTATAAGATTATAAAATTCACTCAAAAATATTATTGGATACTAATAGCGTATTCGATTTACTGACTCGATCCGACTTTGAGTCAACGGTCTGTTCTTCCTAGTTGCATTTCTTGCACAATTTAGTTATTCTTTTGCAGCTAAATAGAACAGACCATTGACTCAGTCATATCGAATCAATAAATCGAATACGTTATAAGACCGCTTGACCGTATAGATAATTTTATTATGTTAGTTCTTTGAATAATACACGGTTCATAAATATTTTAATGTTGAAATAAATTATATTCTATTATAAATTATACATATACACGTATGCTTACGTACGTCACAACCAAAGTTATGTATCACTTGCATTTCGCACTCATATCTGGGGATCAATTCTGTATCTTGAAACGGGATGAAAATTACAAAAGTGAACGAATCGATCCCCTGTGATTTTTCACTCTCGTAAGCATAGGGATATCATATTTTCATCATGCTCATAATCAATTGCGCGTATTTTTTCACGTGAGATGAAAGTGCGAAAAGTAAGAACATTCGATGATGATACACAATCGAACCTCTCTGTAGAGAGCCTCACAGGAAGAGAGGCAAATTGCATCACGCGAATGCCCACGTCCAATCAGGACGGAGGTCAGGTGATCAGTTTTCTCTAATCTGTTCTATGCCCATGGAGCTTTGATGTTCATATCCAATCAGAGGAGACGGATCACGTGATGCAATTTGCCATTCTCTCCGTGTGAGGCTGCTTTTACATACAACATAAGAAACTCCGCACAATAAAAAGAACAGAGAATAAGAATTTCAACCTATCAGAAATTATATATTGTGGAAGATCCAATTTCTGATAGGTTATTCTTATTCTTTGTTCCCTGTTTCTTTTATTATACGGAGCTCCTAACTTGCGTAAGCGTAACTTGTGTCAACCAATCAAACCGTATCAAAGGGTGCATTTGTTTATGCAATGACTGCCGCAGATGTCGTTTGTTTATTCTACCTGCGAAGGCGATTGCAGCGCAGTTTGTCATTCATTTACGCAGAGATGTATATCATCTACGCTATCTCGGAGGTCCTGCTCAGGATGCACTGCCGCTACTGTATAAACGAACGACAAACTGCGTTGCAGTTATGGCGACCACCACCAGAGGTGGTTTAAAGACGGGACTCACTCGGTTTTGCAAAAGCACCTCAGTCACGCGAAGTTCCTTTAACTAGGATAACAACCTAAACTGATTCCAGGGCGTCTAAGGCAGGCCCTCACATCGCCTTACTGATGAGTCTAGTGGGACCGAGACGAAAGCTTCGAGTCTGGCCTCCTTAGTAAGTTTCTTCCTTTACCGACATTCCTTATATGTAGCAATCCGCTACACAGTCTTGCCGTCGCTTTCGTAGATTGAATATTTTGTAATATCGCTAATAGTTAGTTGTATATTACTGAAAATGAATTTAATTAAAATATAAAGTAAAAAAGATAAAGAGTTTGTGAAAATCGATCCTAGTAAAGTAAAAATAATGCAAAGTGAGCTATATAATAGAAACGTTAAAAAGTTTGCTAATTTATATTTACGATAATAAAATTAATAAATTAAATATTTGTAAATTTTCATTGTTTTTATATCGATAAAATTTAATATTTTAATAAAAGTATAATCTTTTATAATAATAAGTAAAGGGCAAAGTAAGAGTCGACACATTTCTTTAAAATTAACCGAAGAATATATTTCAATTAACAAAAAGTAAAATTACATAAAGCAAAAATAAAATTAAAAATAAGAAAATAATATTAAAATTTATTATTTTCTATTAGATTTCCGGTATATTAATTTATTTACATAAATATTTTTTTGTAAGCAGTTTTTATTTTATCTTTTTTATCAACTAGAGCTTTGCCAAGATATTTGTTGGGAATAAAAGAATATTAGAGCGAATTCGTGAGAAGTGTTATACGGACAACGCGAACTTGTCGACTCATCTCGTGCACACGCGGACAATAAGCGACGAAGGAGAACCTGCCGGTAGGGCATGGATACGCTCCTAGCGGCGAACAAAAATAATAAACATAAATACAGTTCGTCGATAATCAATCGGCCGTGACTCGCATTCCGATGATCTACCGAGTGCTATAATTGGTTTGGACAAGCAACTATCCAACAATATTTTTAATACATTTGACTGTTCAATTGTACGGAAATAATGTCGAACTCTACATCAAAACTCACCCGAACTGTGAATGTAATAAATATGCGATCATTTGCGATAATTGATTTTGTACTACGATTTTGCAGACATATAAATGTTTGAAGAAGGCTCAGTCCGGTAGCCGAAACTTGTAACTTTTTATTATTATTTTCTTATTTTTAATTTTATTTTTGCTTTATGTAATTTTACCTCTTGTTAATTGTAATATATTCTTCGGTTAATTTTAAAGAAATCTGTCGACTCTTACTTTGTCCTTTACTTATTATTATTTATTTTGTATAGGAAGAGTCCTTAGATTTGATATTTATAATCTTTTATATAGTCTAAAAATATTACATTATAATTATTCGTAAAGCATCGATGGATTTCCGACTAACTACGACCCATTCTCTTCACTTATATTGTAAACAGTTTTCAGATTTGTCTAGTTTTCTATTAGAAGATATGATCCAATAAAATACTAAGCAACTATTCATGTAGAGGTCGTAAATGTAGGTTATGTGATTAGCAGATGAGAAAGCAGTGGATGCGCTAGTCATTGCGCAAACGAATGCACCCAAATTGTATCAGCTACTACGCATTATTCTACTTGAGACGATTTGATTGGCTGACACAAGTTACGCTTACGCAAATTATGCTGCATGTGAAAGCAACCTGAGGTTTTCTAACCTGCAGGGCTATTCTGAAACTTTTTAACGCATGCGTTATAGTTATAACGCATGCTTTACGATTTCATATTCTGTAAATGCGTCTTAACGCATGGCATCATCAATTTACGTTGCATTTGCGTTTAAGTTTGCGTTATATTAAATTTCACTAGAAAATTGTATTCTGTGAGCTATTTTAACGCAATTCGTAACGCATGCCCTTGCGTTACGTAAAGTAATGCTAAGAGTGAAATCGCACAGTGTGGAATAGAGAATGCGTCATTGAAACAACCACTTAGAACTATTCCGCATTTGATGCTGCGGAATAGCGAGTGCGTCATTGTTCTTGTAAAAAATCGTCGTATTTTGAGAGATTAAAATAATTTGATGCTGATTGATATGATGGAATTGCGTAATGTCGAGATGATTG